AAAAAAAAAAAAAAACTTTCTTATCCACAATCAATTTAAGAGCACTGATTACAATATTATAATAAAGTCCACCCTCAGCATGAATAGAGATACCGGCTGAAAACAATAAACTCATTTTATATACCATACAAACTATTTTATCAAGCATCCAGAAAGTCAAATTATATAAATATTATCCTAAACAATTAAGATATTGTCAATGTTGAAAGCAGATCTTTTTTTATTAAATCAAATTTAAAAGAAAAAAAACATGAATGCCTTGATAACTTAGTGATAGTTTAAAACTGTGTTTTGATGCACTATGACATCAGACTAAACTTTCCCCCCTTTAAGCTCAGGTCAGATTAACAGATTTATATCTATTTGCTAAATGCCAGAATAAGACTGTTGTCTTCAGCTATTTCTTATTTTTTTATTCTAATTCAGAAATGTATGCATATAGCTTCAGTAGGAATACTTACATAATAAAAAAAAACATCCTTGCTCTTCTTGTAGGTTAGTAAATAAAAAAGACTTTTCATTTTTTCATATTCTGTTGCTTTTCTGCCTTTTAGAGCCACATGATTGTTTCAGTTAAAGAATACAATGCAGACTCGATGCAGATTGATTGTTTTATTCAATAGACTCATGGTCCATAAAAAGATAATATACTGCAGACTTTATCAGCAAATGTGGAAACAGAAGTCCAGTTTCCTCCATTAGTCACTGTTTATTTGTTTTCTTGTTAAAACACGACAATTACAGCTCTTTTTCACTCCCCATGAGTTTCTATGATTTTCATTCCGACTCTCTGAGGGTTTTAGGAGGAGACAATGGCTGAATTTATGCTGTAGAGGTTATTTGAGGTTTATGTTTTTTGGAGTCTTGAAATTGAATGCACACTGTTTTTATTTTCTTTACTAAACAGGAAACGGGACTTCTGAATATTTGGAACATCTGGTGGAAAAAAACGAGAGCAGAGCTATGAAAGCAAAAAGCTTCAGTTGCTCAGAATTACAGAAAAAATGATTCCATACATTTAAGAATACAGATCAATCAATACAGATTTTTAAAAAGCCCCTGGTCACCTTATTTGACATTTTTGAAATGTTATATGTAAGAAGCTTTTTGTGGTTGCATATATTATTGTCTGAACGATTACTGTCTCCTTATGTTTGTTATTTTTGTGTTTTATGTTTTGTTTTAGCTCAGTTTGTCATTAAATAAAGCCCTACTTGTTTATTTACAATAACGTGGGAGTTACATCCTGCCCATGTGGGCGGGGAGTAAACAAGGAAGTAGCCTAGTGTGGCTAAAGCAAATGAGCACCTTCAGTGAAGTGTGGAAATAATGCAGAAAAGTCCAAAATCCAGTGTGAAAAAATGCTAAAAAAATAAAGTCCTAGAGGAATCAGAGGGGAACAGAGCTGGGAAAACAGTCTGAACGTTGGTTTTCACTGAACAGGAAGCTAAAACTGCCGAGGCGTTCAGATGTAGCTTCTAACTCAGAGTCAGACATACTTTAATAATCCCAGAGGGAAATTACTTTTGTTACACGCTA